GGGGAAGGTGAAAATGAAAATTGAGAAATGAATTAGGGTTAAGGTTAAATGTAAGTAGGGGAATGAATTGGGTTAATTTTTATGGATTGGGTTGGATTAGGTAAAATTGGTTTAAGTTTAATTTTGATTAAATTGAGTTTGAACTTGAGTTTGGGTTTGTGTTTGGATTTGGGTTTGGATTTAGATTTAGATTTGAGTTTGAAAGATAAATTAAATTAATTTATATTTATTTTAATTTTTGCGGGGATAGGGATCCTCACAGGGCTCTACGAGGTGGGGAAAATTTTTGCGAAATTTCGCGGGGGGAAAATACTCCCCATCCTCGTCCCGCGAGGAGGAATATTCCTCCCCGTCCTGTCCCCGTAACGGGGATCCCCACGGGACCTTATAGGGATCGAGAGAAATTGTCATCCCTAGATTTGTGCCTTAAAAGACACATTTTTATCATTAATTTATATTGAAAAATATTAAACGAATATTAATTTTAGTGTCATTATTACATTGATAAATTTAATTAGATAATCGATAAATTAAAAATTAATATTTATTCTTTCAATATAAATTTATAATAAAAATGTATTTATTATACATTTAATATGTATTTTAAAAGTAAAGATTAAAAAAACTCTTTTATAATACTACATCTATTCATTTTTAGTAAATCTAGTTTTTTTATCTAATAAAATAGAGATATAACAATTTATTATTTCATGTTTATCCTTAATTAAATATTACTTAAATAAGATTTTTTATTTAATATATGTTGTAATTATTTTTTTAAAATGATGGTTAACAAAAATAAACACATTAAATGATATCTTAAAAACAAAAAGTGAATAATTAAATTTAAATAAACTAAATAAAAAATTAAATCTACCAAATTTGAATTAAAAAAATTAATGAGAAAAATGAAAAACATGTTAAATTTTTTTTATTAATTAATATGAAAAAATTATTTTTTAATTTATTAATTATTTAATTAAATTTATCAATATGACAATTATACTAAAATTAATATTGACTTTTATGTTCTTCTATATAAATTAATTATAAAAAGGCGTACTTAAAGGTAAAAATTAAAAAATCTTGGCATTTTAAATGTTATAAGTTCCTATAAAATTATTTAAATACCCTTAATGAATATTTTTTTGTTGATTTACTAAAGGCACTTTAATCTTTTTATTATTATTTATGGTATTTTAATTGCATTTCAAAATTGTTTTTAAAACATATAAAATGTCAAAAATAAAAATGAAAAGACTA